CAATAAAGTGATTTCTAGATGAGAGTCGTATACATTGCCGGTGAACACGACCAAAAACAGACCTGATCGATTATAACTAAAACTACATAGACAGACTAAGGCATAACCATCAATATCAGTAACCCTTCCTGTCCGTTGGCAATTTTCAATGTGTGGTTGCCATTTTTACTAGGTTGTTGCCATCGATGAAACTTTGCCTGAACACACTTTAAACGTTGTAGTTTTGAGGAAAATTAGTCTTGACTTCGTAAAAATTCGGCAAGATACTGAAAACTAAACATAAAGTGATGTACTTACATTCGATACCCGTCAAGATGGCGGCGGCGGCGGCGAAGGCCATTTGAAAACTGTCGCTTTTAACTACCGAAATGTGGCAGGAAACTTTCCTTGACATTCAAAAAGCAAGGAGAAGGCTTCTTCATCGGTACTGCGAGCTCGGAAGTCCCGGATATTGAACGAGGAGACCTGGAACAGGCTTTGAAAAAAGCTCCCTTGTTTCTTGCGATTATTTTTTCCTATTTTTGCGTGTTTTTAGCAGAACAATGGAATCATGACGTCATCGCTTCTTCCAAAACTGGCATACTCCCGAACTGTAGAAGGCACTGAGGAAACGTGTGTTATGAAGGGGGCAAAACTTATTAAAAATACTCACCTCCGTATTCTTTACGCAATAGAACAGAAAGATAAGAAGACCCTGTTTTGATTTAGCAAAAAAAATGTGTTAGTATAATTTATGCGACGGGCATCGTTTTTCACGGGGTCTGTGGTTCAACTAGTATAAACACTTTTCTCTTCACTTCTTTTTATTCACCCAAGGTCACTATTTTCAATAAACGCCTTAAAAATTGCGAAGTACTTAATATCTACAGAACTATTAGTAGTAGAAGAACAATTCTCAAAATGCTCCTAAAGAAAATGGTTGATCTCTAATTTCAGCAATTCAAGATCATTTCATTCATGATCAAAGGGTAGGTTACGATCCCTTTTGGTACTCAGGGAGCTGAGCGAAGGCCTGGCTTGTTAAATATTACCGAATTTACCCGGCGATCAGACGCCGCCCTCCAATAAACGCCGCCTTCGGTTAAACGTCGCAGATGGAAGTTTGCCAATAAACGCCGCACCCAATTACAAGAATGTGGCGTTATTTGAAGATTATAACAGAACGACGCGACAAAACTTGCTAATCTACATCATCCAGAAAATTACGATTCCACCTCAGCAAAAAGAAAAAAAAGCGAGACACTGGAACTTTAAAATCTTTCCGTTTACATTGTATTTACAAATTATTAATCGAATTATTGTCAGTGATTTAAGAAAAGTGATTTTGAAATGAACGCCGCCCTTAAAAATTGACGACACATCGGAGGCGCCGCGGTGTTTAATCCGAATAAATGCGATATGGAATCACTCTTTCGATATATAGCTTCCGAGCGCATGCACAGACGCTACCAAATTTGTATTGCTAGGTGTCTTTACTCTTACAGGGACGATTTTCCTGAAACTTTGGGTAAAACCACTGCCCCAGAATGCAAAAAGTCCACTTGAAGTTCGTCGCTCAAAAACCGCACGCCTTTTAATGATGTCAACTAATACGTCACCCAAAAGCGAGACTATATCGACTTCTCAGCGGCCTCGTTTTCAGCTTTCAGGAAGGGGAAAATAGGGGAACAGTTCTCTTCCTGATGTTAAAACAACAGACAGCCGTACGAATGTTTCCTCTTGGAACTTTGGGGAGTAACACACAAGACAGGGATCAATTTCAAATACAATATTACATTTAAAGCAACGTACCTGCAAGGAATTGAAGATGGCAAAGAGGTATTCAAACACTACAGAGGTGTTGTTGACGGAGAGAAGACCAAACACCCAAGTCAGTCCCAAGATTGGAAGTAGCGTAACAAAAGCTTTTGCCAAAGATCTTCATTAATACATAGCAGTGAAGAGAAACAAAGAAAAAGGGAGAGCAAATCAACGCGAGACGTTAAAATCAAAAACAGACGCTATCCGCACGCACGATTTCCTTCCCTTTTTTCTACACCGATCGAGAACGAGGAACTAAGTGTTCGATCTTTATTTTATTTTATTTCTCTCTTAATTTTTATTCATTTTCAAACTGGCTCCCTTACATGTGTTTCCTTCTAATGCATTGTTGCTGAGCATAAAAAAAACACATGTTAGCACAAATAAAAACAACAACAAAAAACAGTTACTGTTTTATTAATACTAACATGGTATGTCTTGATTTGTACCTTAAACTGGAATGGCCAGATGCCGACTCTTCATTTAGCATTTTAGAAGTTACCCGCATGACCATTACAAGGATAACGAGGTTAATCTGGCAATGAAAAACACACGGAAATTCAGTTTAAAGGGGCTCTGTAACGAAGATATTGTTGTTATGGTCAATTCTGTGCTGAAGTCCGCATTACTTAGCACCTTTACCACTGTCTTTACCCAAAAAAATAATTTTTGGCGATTTTTGCAGGCCATTAAGCACTGAGTAAAACTTGACAAAAGTTGGCCCAAGCCTTTCAAGAGTTCAATTCAAGCTTATCATGTCCATCCTAACCATCCGTTGCGCAAAACGACAGGAAACCGTTTTGAATTACATAACTGGGCCATTATCTTTGGAATTCAAATGAATTACGAAGGCGTAACCTGCAATCAGGCAGTCCTCCTTTGCGCTTTCCCTGAAAAAAGAACTCCTGATTGCAGGTTAACGAAGGCGTGGTCGTTTTATCCTTTAAAAAGATGGAAAGTGACATGACATAGGCCCTTTAAGCTACTGTAGGTTTGTCACTTGCTTTTAAGTTTGAAAATTAAGATAGTTCAGTTATGTATTAGTTATGTACACCTACCGAAATAACAAAGATTGCAGGTCCAGCAAAGCTCCAAATGGCACCAGAGTCAACTGAAAGCCAACAACTAAGTAAACGGAGGAAAATGACTGCAGTCAGTCAGTCAGTCGCCCCGTTTTGCAGTTATCGCCCTTCACTCTATAGCCTCCCCCGCAGACGTCTAATAACGGCATTTATATTGTGGTTCAATTTTATCCTTGGCTTGAATTCTAGTTTCTGTTTGTTTCAAACTCGTTATCATGCCTTATCAGTGCTTAAAACCAAATCAAGGTAAATATATTTTGGCAAAGGTAAAATTTGAACAACATTAAATGCAAAGTATATCATATATTCATTGGATTAGACATCTTAGCTTAGGTTAGCCTGTTCATGCATGAAAACATTCACCAGATCGAAAGCTTGTCAATAAGTAGCTTTAATAAGGACCTTACGAAACTACGACGTCGACGACAACGGGAAAGTCAAAAAAGCAATATCTTTAATGAGCGAAACAACAACTCTGCACGTGCATCACGCTTTTTTGTACATTTCTTTGCAGTCCCTGCACAACTACGTCGTGAAATGACCAAATTTTAAGTATATTTGGGAAAGGGAACGGCAAGGCGATAAATTCTACCATCTGTGTCTGAACTCGGGCACGGTGCCTTTTTCTTCAGCTCCAACCCAAATTCCCTTCTTTTAAGTAACTGGGACCCTTGAAATAATCACGAAAAAGAGTGATGTTAAGTCTATTTTTTAGAGACGCTTTCATGGACGTCGCCGTTGTCGGATCATAATGTCCCTATTAAGCCTCCAAGACAATGAGACGCAAAAAAAGGCACTTTCTAGAGAGCAAAGGGCTGCGAAGCCACTGGCGCCTTGATCTAGCTCTACCCCAACGTTAAAACCAGCCTTGATCACAACGTGTTTCAGTGTTCGTAATGCAAAGTGAATTGGTGTGGCAATAGACGATTAATTTCACTGTTCGTTAATAGGTCACCTTCACATATGCTTACATTTCCTTTGAAAAAAGCTTAGACTGAAAAATAGAAATGGCAATCGCAGTAACAATGAGCGGGAAACCTGAAAGGAAAATAACAAAATCAAAAGCGTGAGGTACTAGTTACAATTGGCCAGCGTTAGTTCAGCCAATCACTGATCATCGTCCCACGTAAGGGAGTCCGGGAATTTTGGAAATCCTGAATTTTGAAATCCGGAATACAGCTTAAGGAATCCGGAATCCCTCCAGCTACTGGAATTTGGAATCCAGTACCTAGAATCCCGGGAATCCTTGTCGTGGAATCAAGCAGAATCAAAGACTGTCTTGGATTCCGTTTCATAGAGTTATTATCAGAAACAGAGCAATGTACGAGAAGGTAAGAATAGAAAATGTTTGAATGAATTATAAAACAATTATTGATGATTATCGACTTTACCCCATCCAATAAGCAGGTAGTATAGTTTCCTTCCTCTGCCGGAATCAAATACTCTGACCACCATGAAGTAAATGTGGAGTCCTTCAGCAACCATCCACGAAAAAACACAGAGGAAAAAGAAGAACAGGCCGATTGAAATAACGTAACAACCAATCTGAAAAAAAAAAAAAAAGAGATGGTAATAACGATAACGATGAAGATAACAATAATAACAATGATGATGATGATGATGATAATAATAATAAAATAATAATAATAATAATAATAATAATAATAATTATTGAATAGACTTCTACCTCATTCTAACCCTAGGCCAAAGGAATTGGGTTCGGTTATTATGTTGCATTATGGTATAACATTAAAAAAGATGCAGTGCAGCAAAAAAATTTGATATTCTCAGCGAGGTTTGAATAACAAAAGCCGTAATTTGCACAACTTGAGAAAGCAAAACCCTGGTGGATTCTGAGCGCAGTTACTGTAGTAAAATGACGTCATCGTGCAAATAGCTTACCACTGGGATCACAATAGACCTGATATTGTGGTGCAGCAGGGTGTGCTTCATTGTAGATGTAGCTTGCCCTTTTGATACACGGTTATAAGTGAGTGTTCAGTGATTTAAGTTAGGTTAGAACAACTCTTAGAGTAAAATGCAAGATTGAGTTGATTATTACTGCACCTTTGATGTCTCTGGTCTTACTCCAAAAGCTGCTATGAGGAACAAAACTTGAGCAAGTAAAATGGCAGTAACCAAATTCATGTGAATAAAATGCCTCGGTGATCGGAGACTACTGCAAGTGTTTAACAAATACAAAAAGCAAATTCACTTTGTTGCCATCACAAGCTTTAAACATTTGGCGAAATAACGTCAGAGTTAAGGTGAACAAACAGTCAAGTTCGTGCAACAACAATCGCCAGCAGTGTGCGTCTTACTTGTGTCGGAGGTCCTAGAAGCGTAAATACACGTCAAAATCTCGAAGTATCCCCACCCTAGCTTAAAACGAATGATATAAATTAAATTCAGGGCTGGGGAACTGTACGTTAAGGGTCGTTTTGTAGGACATCGATGATTCCGCATCTTTTTACGCGCGCGTTACATGCGTTTCGCGCTTCTCGCGAAGCATGTCACGCGAGAGTTTATATTCTTCCGTTGTTTCCTATCCTTGACGGTGACTAGAGAGGGGAAAACCTAAGTGCTCCACAAAACAATAGCGCGATTTTCAAAACAAAAACAAACGACCGCGTTGCAGCGAGAGTGAGGAAGGGTTTTTTGGGTCAATTTAAGATTACGTACTTACGTTAAGAAGGCGTAGGTTAGGATTGTTAAAATGCATCCCAAGATCGACAGACCGCACCCTATGCACGTAATTATCGACAGTGGTAGCTTATGCTCGTCTTTAGGCTGAAGAAAATCAAAACACAGCATAGTTAAACTAAGTGTTGATGTGACAACAAATCTTACTGATCTTAGTATGCTAAGTAATTATTATCAGGCTAACGTGCGCCGCAGACGTAATTTAACCTCGGTTAGTACCCCGAAGCAGCGCCGAAATCCTTGTATTGGACTGCAAGGCCAACAAATTACCGGAAATGTGTTTCGCATTTTCTTTCAACTTGATAGCAAATCGGCAATGAGTTTTTAACCCGCCACGTACTCAAATCCTGCTACACAGCTGGGGGCCTAGAGCTTGAGGATTTCGTCGCTGATTCGCAGACGGACTCAACCAGGGTTTAGTTTCGTCTAAGGCGAAGGCTACATCAGGCAGGTCGTGTTAGTGTACACCTATAAAAAGATCTATGGATTGAAATATACAGTAAACTTCGTCCATCGGAGCGTATAATTGGACTGGTCAAACCGGACAGTTAAAGAACCGATGGAACTCAAGTAGCAAATGCCACTAGCTAATGAAATTCAACTACATTGCACACGATAACAAATCAAAATCGATGAAAAAATAGTGACCAGGTAGGCTGTCCAGCTTCAACTGGAAAAGAAAAATTGATGAAACTAACTGGTCCAGTGACTTTTATTTACATTAACTAGAATATTCCAAGACTGAGATTCTCGCATTTTGTTACTGACACAATTAATTGGTAATAGGACTTCCTGTCGTACAATTCCAGGGTGATCGGGCCCGTAATTTCAAATCGACCTCACACTACGCGCTCGGCCAATTTGAAATTACTCGTCCGATCACTCCCTGAATTTTACTCCACTCAGTTCTATCACCATTACCTATTGTTATGATCATGATTTTGATTATGATTATGATTACGATTTAATGATGATGATGATAAATTATTATTATTTGAAAAGTGAAAATATAGAATATATTTTAAAATCTATATTAAACTGGCCTTTACCTCATAGTTGGTAACTTTTATCAAAACAGCAAAACTGGTCAAATGGTTACAGACAATATCTTTAATGAGCGAAACAACAACTCTGCACGTGCATCACGCTTTTTTGTACATTTCTTTGCAGTCCCTGCACAACTACGTCGTGAAATGACCAAATTTTAAGTATATTTGGGAAAGGGAACGGCAAGGCGATAAATTCTACCATCTGTGTCTGAACTCGGGCACGGTGCCTTTTTCTTCAGCTCCAACCCAAATTCCCTTCTTTTAAGTAACTGGGACCCTTGAAATAATCACGAAAAAGAGTGATGTTAAGTCTATTTTTTAGAGACGCTTTCATGGACGTCGCCGTTGTCGGATCATAATGTCCCTATTAAGCCTCCAAGACAATGAGACGCAAAAAAAGGCACTTTCTAGAGAGCAAAGGGCTGCGAAGCCACTGGCGCCTTGATCTAGCTCTACCCCAACGTTAAAACCAGCCTTGATCACAACGTGTTTCAGTGTTCGTAATGCAAAGTGAATTGGTGTGGCAATAGACGATTAATTTCACTGTTCGTTAATAGGTCACCTTCACATATGCTTACATTTCCTTTGAAAAAAGCTTAGACTGAAAAATAGAAATGGCAATCGCAGTAACAATGAGCGGGAAACCTGAAAGGAAAATAACAAAATCAAAAGCGTGAGGTACTAGTTACAATTGGCCAGCGTTAGTTCAGCCAATCACTGATCATCGTCCCACGTAAGGGAGTCCGGGAATTTTGGAAATCCTGAATTTTGAAATCCGGAATACAGCTTAAGGAATCCGGAATCCCTCCAGCTACTGGAATTTGGAATCCAGTACCTAGAATCCCGGGAATCCTTGTCGTGGAATCAAGCAGAATCAAAGACTGTCTTGGATTCCGTTTCATAGAGTTATTATCAGAAACAGAGCAATGTACGAGAAGGTAAGAATAGAAAATGTTTGAATGAATTATAAAACAATTATTGATGATTATCGACTTTACCCCATCCAATAAGCAGGTAGTATAGTTTCCTTCCTCTGCCGGAATCAAATACTCTGACCACCATGAAGTAAATGTGGAGTCCTTCAGCAACCATCCACGAAAAAA